AAAGAGTGGGCGATTTGGTGGGGGGCGGAGGCTGAGGAGGGCGGGGTTTGGGGAGGAGGAGGACCCCAGTGGGGTGGACGGTCAAAGAGTCCGCCTTCCATTTTCTCCAGGGGATCTCTGTAACTTGGAGACCTCTGTTGCCTGGAGTTCGGTTGTCATCCCAGGAGGTCTCCAGCCGCCACCTGGAGGCTGGCAACTCTAGCTTGGGAGCCAGTGTGGGGTGGTGGGACTAGGCCTGGGGAGACTCGAGTTCTGATCCCCCGCTGAGCCGTGACACTTGGGCGATCGGGCTGCCAACTTCCAGGGGGAGATCTCCTGGAATTTCAACTGATCTCTCATTCAGCGCCTCCCTCTGAGCTGTGGAGTGTTGTGAGCAAAAATGTTACTTTGTGAGCTTCTGGCATCAAAGTTGTGAGCGGGCGATTTGGCTGCTGCATAGATTCGTTTGCCCTGGAGCCCTCCTCCCTGAGCTGAGACAAAGATCTGTGAGCCAGAGGCTAAAAAAAACTGCAAGCCAGCTCACACTAACTCAGCTTAGAGGGAGAAAGAGCTCTCTTGGCCAGTTTGGTGTAGTGGTTAAGAGTGGTGGACTCTAATCTGGGAGAACCGGGTTTGATTCCCCACTCCTCCACGTGCAGCTGCTAGTGTGACGTTGGGTCAGTCACAAGTTCTCTCAGAGCTGTTCCTCTCAAGAGCGGTCCTCAAAAGAGCTCTCTTGGCCAGTTTGGTGTAGTGGTTAAGAGTGGTGGACTCTAATCTGGGAGAACCGGGTTTGATTCCCCACTCCTCCACGTGCAGCTGCTGGTGTGACCTTGGGTCAGTCACAAGTTCTCTCGGAGCTGTTCTCTCAGGAGCAGTCCTCGAAAGAGCTCTCTCAGGCCCACCGACCTCACAGGGTGTCTGTTGTGGGGAGGGGAAGGTAGAGGAGATTGCAAGCCGCTCTGAGACTCCCTCAGGTAGTGAAGGGCGGGGTAGAAATCCGATCTCTTCGCCTCTTCTCTTCTCCTCCCCAAATCACCAGGAATTTCCCCACCCTCTTGGGTGACCTTGGGCCAGGCGTGATTTCGCAGGGTTGTTCTGAGGTTAGATGGGGGTAGGGCGGAAGAGGCACCTCCTCCGACTAAGGACAGACTGGTGATGGGCTAGACCAGCGATGGCGAACCTTTTAGAGACCGCGTGCCCAAACTGCGACCCAAAACCCACTTATTGATCGCAAAGTGCCAACACGGCAATTTAACCTGAATACTGAGGTTTTACTTTAGAAAAAAACAACTCATACATTAACTTAAGATGATCCAAACAAAGTAAGGAAAGCAATCCCAAATGCTTTCATTGACTTAAAATTATTTGGCAGAGAATTCGACACTTTAATGATGGTCTGGGCCTGGCTGGGGCGATGACACGCGTGCCCACAGAGAGGGCTCTGAGTGCCACCTCTGGCCCCCGTGCCATAGGTTCGCCGCCACTGGGCTAGACCACTCGTGCATGGAAGGAGACGCAGGCATACATTTCTAACTTTGGCTGTGATTTATGTGCGTGTGAAGATCCTTGAGTCTCTCGCTGGCGGAGGGGAGGAAGTATCAAAATGATTGAGGTCTTTGCATAAGAGATCAAAAAGCCCAGAAAGACTGCGGATGTATAGTTTTTTCAAATCTTATAAATACGCATGTTTTGACGTAAGTAATTTGACGTCCCTGTACGAAATCTGCATAGAAGATACTGTGTTACGTTGATTACTCTCCTCGTCAACATGAGGTCTAGCCCATTACGAAAACCTTTGCTTGTGATTTGAGGATCTGAACCGTGAGGATGTTTGAAATTCATGACTGGAAGGTATTAATATCAACCTGCGTAAGAATCCAGCATTGAAGATTACACCTGTCCAGAGTTCCCTCTAAGCTGAGTGAGCGTGAGCTAGCTCACAGTTTTTTAGCCTCTGGCTCACACGTTTTTGTCTTGGCTCAGGAAGGATGGCTCCAGAGCAAACTTATTGATGCAGGAGCCAAATCGCCCGCTCACCACTTTAATGCCAGGAGCTCACCAAGTAGAATTTTTGCTCACAGGACTCCACAGCTTAGAGGGAGCATTGCGACCTGTCCATCTCTGAAGAAGACAGTTGAAATGAAAGATTTATCCAGAATCTTTGTTAAGAGGATTTGGACTTGAGACTGCGGTGGCTCAAGGGGTTAAGACGCTGAACTGCAGGCTGTGGAAGGTCAGTAGTTCAGTAGTTCAGCAGTTCGAGACCCGGGTGCTGCATGATGGAGTGAGCTCCCGTCTCTAGTTCCAGCTCCTGCCAACCTAGCAGTTCGAAAGCAAGAAATTGCAAGTAGATAAATAGGTACCACTTCGGTGGGAAGGGAACAGCGTTCCGTGCGCCTTGGTGTTTAGTCATGCCGGCCACATGACTACGGAAACGTCTTCGGACAGCGCTGGCTCTTCAGCTTTGAAACGGAGATGAGCACCGCAACTCTAGTGTCGGATTCGACTGGCTTTCGAGCAAGGGAACCTTTAC